GAGAGAGAGAGAGAGAGAGAGCTGCGGTGAGAGAGAGAGAGAGAGAGCTGCGGTGATAGAGAGAGAGAGAGAGAGAGCTGCGGTGTTTGCTTGAAGAACGTGGGGAGCAGGTGTCACAGAAATAGAGGTTATTTTCATCTTGGTGCACGATAGCTTGTGTGGACTCTTCAGCTATGGAATCTGGTTCTCTGTCTCAAGATCTTGTGGTCCTTAAGAAGGACTCAGGCTTCCCTGGTGGCGCAGTGGTTAAGAATCTGCCTGCCGATGCGGGGGACACGGGTTCAAGCCCTGGTCCAGGAAGATCCCACATGCCGCAGAGCAACTAAGCCTGTGCGCCACAACTACTGAACCTGCGCTCTAGAGCCTCCGAGCCACAACGGCTGAAGCCTGCGTGCCTAGAGCCCGTGCTCTGCAACAAGAGAAGCCACTGCAGTGAGAAGCCCGCGCACAGCAACGAAGAGTAGCCCCTGCTCGCCGCAACTAGAGAAAGCCTGCGCGCAGCAACAAAGACCCAACGCAGCCATAAATTAATAATTAGTTTTTTTAAAAAAGGACTCTGTTATCATACCCTTTCTACACACTCAAAAATCCTGTTTTGCAACATGGTTTAAAGTCATTATGGAAACAGGATTATGGAAGTAGAAAATAGGTAAGAAAATAACCATACTTCAGGTATCTTAGAAACAGCCATTTACATCCAAATAGTAGAAACCAACGGTTTAGTAATTACTACATGTATTATGTATATTCAGTTGCTGTGTGTATTCAGTTCTTTAAAATTACACACTATGCTACTTTAAAAGATTCGATTTTTAACCAATTTAAACAATTCTAAAGAATAGATTCTTACCATATATGTCTTGGTAATCAAAACTAGAATCCCTTTTTTTATATCATTTTGAAAAGATTGCTAAATAAAGCATATTTTTGTTTCATCTTGGGGCAAAAATTCTTTTTCAGAGGAAGACAATTCCAGTGTTATTTTTAAGGAAAGAGAATTCAGTGTTCAGAGCTCTGTCGCTTTTTCTTAAGAATGGGCACAGTTCCACAGGTTACTTTGCAAAGGTCTGGGGTTGTCAGACTGGGAACAGCTCCTCCCAGGCCTGACTGTGGCCTGATACCGAGAGGTGGGAAAATCAGTGCAGCTGAGTGGAATCAACCATCTGATACGACGCGGCTGTGGTTCAGGGTAGCTCCGCGTGTACTCAGGGGCCACCAGAAGAATGCTCTGAACAAACCTGTTCTCGGTTTTTGGAGGGATGATCTTCCTCTACATCCCAACGTGCAGTTCTGTGCGGCAGCTGAGCAGTTGGACGTTGATGTGTCTAAAATAATCCTGTTACAGTCCCTGCGAGTATGCCTGTCTCATAAACACTTGTGACCGTGGGGCATGGGGCCGGGCTGCGGGGGGTGTGTGCAGATCAAGTAACAGGAACCCTGACGTGGCATCCGTCGGGCCCTGTTGTCACCACCCTTAGTTGTGGTGGTTCATGGGACACATGCCTCGGGCTCTGTGAAGATGTCTCCCAGACTGAGCCTGAGAATGAGGCTGACACCAGGTGACACCAGGCAGTGAGGAGCTTCACCCTGGAGGTGGGGGGCAGGGGGAGGGGGGCGGCACGGCATGGAGCTGGGTGGGGCTAGTTCTCCCCATAGCTGAACACCAGGCACACGGGTCAGCCCAGTGCCCTGTCTGTCTCGCCCCAACCACACAAAGAACTTGAAGCAGACGATCGCACAAATACCCACAATGAAATGGCGGAATACGAAGAATTTTGCAGACTGAGAACCAAGGAAAATGTTGATAGCATATAGTAGGAAGGCAGGCGCAGGGGTGGGGGAAGAAGATGGCCACGTCAGCCGGGCCTGCTGAGTTGGGACAGTTGCCATCACGTTAGGCTTTGAACTGTGATGCCCAGAGCACAAAGGGAGGTGATGTAACCCACCTTCATGGGCAAGAATCGATTCCCTGGCGTCTGAGGCGGTGATTCTCTTAAATGAGTTGGTTTGCTTTGTAGCTCAGGTAATTTTATGTTAAACGGTGCCATGAAGACTTCTCTTTTCTCCTAAAGGGAGTTGAACAGCATGGGGATCTGGTATCGAATGGGCAGAGTACCAAGAAATCATGACTCATCTCAACCCACGACGCCTTCCCAGTCATCAGCTGCTTCCACCCCAGCCCCCAACCTTCCCAGGTGAGGCCCTGTCAGTGGCATCTTGTTCTGTTATGCATGTCGCAGAGTCATGTGGTCTTGGGTCCCACTGCGTAACGTCTTAGAACCCCTCCACTTGGTATCTGCGGAAACATTGCAGAAGCGATATACCTTTAGAGGAGATTTCACAAAGCCAGTTAGAAATCTTTGCGTTACATGAACGTAAAAGCCATTCTGTCTTGCACCTATTCTGCAGGCTTCTGAAATAGCAGAATATGCAATTTAAAATGGGCTTGTTATTCTAAAGAGCTCATGGTCGCACACAGACACATGACCTGTAGCCACGCTGCTGGGAGCGCTGGCCGTAAAAGGTGGAATTTCTTCTCTGCCTTGGCCAGCAACTCTTTCAACTCCAGGAGGGTTGGTAGGTAATTTTGTTCATTTCCATATTGTTCCTGTTCCCAAAGAGCTACAAACTAAGAGATAGGTACTTTGTGTAGGAGAGAATAGTGAGAAGTTTTTCAGGGGCTGTTAGTGTTAAATAGTTGTTTCCACAAAGAAACTTGGGTGAGCAGACTGGTCTCTGCACCTGATTTCCGTTGGAGCAGAGGCAGTAGTGGTCTCAACACCTTCTGTCCCATCAAAAACCTCTGCATCATTAGCAGTAAATTATTTGAGGACAGGGAACAAACAGCAATGATAGACTAAGCTTGAGAAAGGAATTACAAAAGTAAATAAAACCAGTACGAAGTTGTGAGGTAGTGCCATTTGGAGCTGGACGTGACATAAATGAGGACGGATCTCAGAGCTTCCGCGTGGGCAGTTCGAGGTGCGCAAAATCGGCCAGGAACAGGACAAAACCATTACTGGGTGCCTCCCCCTCCCCATGCCCCACGGTCCACACCCTGCCCCCGGGAGTCAGGGGAGAGGGTGCTACAGGCGGTCTCCTGTGCCCTGTTCCTCTGCTGGGCTTCCCGCTGCCTCGGACGAACGCACAGTCGTGAGCCTGCAGCTCGGGGCCTGTCCTTCGGGGTGTCCTCCAGAAGGCAGTCTGGCCTTTTTCACTCGCGACAGTTTCACAAACCAAGAGCGGTACTTAATCGTATCTACCCCGCCATGGGCTGAAACTTGAGGAGTATTGACAGTTTTCAGTTTCACTTTGGTGTGAAGAGATATGACTAGCTGATGAGCTTCCCAGAGTTGCGCGTCTTTGGTTTAGGAGTATAAGGCTCGCACAGCTCAGTAGCACTTTGGAGTTCCTTTCTCACTGCCCAGGGCACCGTCGAGGCTGTGGTTCCCGTCACTTGTGCTCAGGGTCAGCTCAGGCCTGTCGCCTTGGAGAGGTTCCAGCTGCTTCCTGTTGACATTATATGGTCTGGAAGGGCCTAGAAATAGGCACCACCTCAGGGCAGGTTTTAACTTGCTGTGAGATAAAGGAAGAGCTCTGATTCTCCACTTAAGGCAGGAAGAGCGATCTCCCCAGAAGCTAGCCGGTCAGCGTGGGCGCACGGGCTCTAGGAACTGAAGCCAGGGGACCCGAGAACACAGGCCACAGAGAGTCACACAGAACTGGAGATAGTGCGTGGGAACAAGCCTTGTGAGGCTTATGTATTTTATAACCTCTTGTTGTACAGTTTATGGTTTACAATGGCTTCAAGGAAATTGGATCAGTTTTGTTTTACTTGCCAAATAAAGCAAATGTCAAAATAGTCAATATAAAATGTATTCTAATTTGACTGAGTTAAGTCAGCCAGTATGCAGTAGGATAATTGAATGTTACGTTAATGTTTCTCAGTAAAAACCACTTGTCTGTCCCAAGCTCTCCTCTCTCACTATGCAGTAACTTACAGATGGCCTGTACACCTACATGAGCCCCCTAATTCATCAGGGTTTTTTTATGTTCTTCAGTTTTCGTATTGTTCTCCTATTGTGCATCTTTGATAAGAAATGAAATGCTGGGCTTCCCTGGTGGCGCAGTGGTTGAGAGTCCGCCTGCCGATGCAGGAGACACGGGTTCGTGCCCCGGTCCGGGAGGATCCCACATGCCGCGGAGCGGCTGGGCCCGTGAGCCATGACCGCTGAGCCCGTGCGTCCGGAGCCTGTGCTCCGCAACAGGAGAGGCCACAGCAGTAAGAGGCCCGCGTACCGCAAAAAAAAAAAAAAAAAAGAAATGCTGATTTTTCAAATTTTCCACTGAAGATATATGAGATGAGGAGTATGTTATTCCGTGAGGCTTCAGATCCCTGCAATCTGTCCAGCAGAGGAACCTAACAGCTTTCTCTCTGGTGGTGAGCTGTGGAGGAGGCTTTTGTCTCCGCTGGGGGTCTGCAGTGGGCCTGTAGGATGGAGGCCTTCAGGTCTGGATCCCAGGATTAGTCTTCTCTCTCTTGTCCCCACGCCTCAAACTTTGAACCAATAGCCTCTTTTCCCCTTCCTGTTTGGTGCTTCTGTGCCTTTGCTCATGTGGACACCTGTGCATCAGGTGTGTCTCCCATCCCCCACCTCAGATGTCAGCGCAAATGCCGCCTCTCCCAGGAGGCCTTCCCTGAGTGCCCTGTGCCTGTGCCAGGCTCTCCCCTCAGAGCGCTTCTCAGCCGTTATACCTTCACTCATGTTGTAAACTCCTTAAAGGCAGGGACTGTGTCTAGTGCCTTTTATTTCCCAGAGCTCAGCCCAGGTGCAGGCATATATTCAGTTTTGCAACAAATGCTTCTCCAACAGCCTCAGACCCTGGGCTGCAGCCTCTCCACTCCCACCCGCAGACAGCTCCTGAGTCCCTGAAGACTCCTCAGGTTTTTCTGATTATGAGAGGAATACAAGCTTGTAGAAAACTGACAGAGTATAGAAAATAATGAAAAAAACGAATTCCATCTCCAGTAAGCAAAGGCTCATAACCTTTGGCTATATTTTCTTCAAGTCATTTTTCTGTGTACTTTTTACATAGGTGATATCATATCATAAAATAGCAAGTTTGTTTTTGCTGCTTCTTTCTCCTGTACTATTAAACCACAAGCATAAGAAATACCTCAGCTGTGGTCTTTGTGTGGACACAGGGATCAAGTTGCAAAGCCCAGGCTGGAGGGAGAGTGTGGTGATGCAGCGCCCTCTACTGACCAGATTTGGAGGAGCCTGGAGGACAGGCAGGCCGGTTCCCCCGCGGGCAGTGGGCCATTTTCCCAGCCAATCCCCGGGGGAAGGAAGGGAGTCAGGGAGGGCCAGTAGCCGACCTTGTTGCCTTCTTGAGCCGGAGCTTCTGTCTGAAAAGCTAAAAACGTGTTTGCTGCCTACATTTCTTTCGTTGTCACTCGTATATCAAAGAACTTCCTGTCACTTTTTGGAGAGCTGTCGTCCCCAGCTTATGTCAGACAAAAGGGGCAGCTGGTGGACTTTCTGTTGATGGGTCATCACCTGAGGCCCTCGTGGTCCTGGCAGAGCCGCCTTCCCTTTCCAGAGGCCGGTACTGCCCTTCAGAACGAGCACCTCCTGCCTGTTTCCTCCCTGTTACTGCAGAGAATGCTAGTCGTGGGGCCAGGTGTGGCGTTGTCCTTTCAGGATGGGCAGTCCCCTTGGCTGTATCTGGTGAATGGGGCACAGTGGTCGAAGGTCACGGCCAAAGGCAGGATAAGACGTGTTGGCAGAGCTCCTCTTCCTCACCCAGTGAGTCTTCATCACACACACACACGTCTCTGCGCTCATTTCTTGACAGTTTTCCCACGTGAAGAAGGGCATATGCCACTTCTTCCGGGGGCCTGGAGCCTTCATCTTCTCCCTGGGCCCCAGCGCTGCCCCGTCCTCTGCCGTCTGCTTCACACACACTGATCAGCAGGGTGGGCCTGGCCTTGGGCGTCGGGCGTGATCCCACGTCCCCACCTCTCTCCCGGGCTGGCCTCAGCTTTGCAAGTCGGCCTGGTGTGTGTGAGCAAACATCGGGGTCCCTGGATTTGGGCTTTTCCGATTGCTTCTTTGCTGCTGCCTTGGGGCACGTGCAGACAGAGGAAGCACCTTCCCCCTTCAGCCAGAGCAGCCCCCACTCCTGTCCCACACACCGGCTCTCACATATGATCTGCGGGGAAGAGAAGGTTCAGCTTCTGCTGGAACCGAGGTCCGGAAAAGCTCGGGGAGGCAGGTGGACTCACAGTTGATGGAGTACCAGTAGCCCCAGAGTGTGGCTGAGTGAACAGTTCTGTGCCTTCCCACGAGGGGCCCTGGTGGGCTGCTGCCCCCCGGCTTGCTGAACAGCAGAACCCGTGGCTTGATAAAGACATCAGAGGCATGCATATCAAATGTGCAGATGACACAGAGTCATTAGGGAGAGCTGATGTGCTGAGTGACAGAATCAATACTCCGCATCTCCTCTACAGCCAGAACACCCTGCCGCTACCAGGGGATGAAAGGTGATGGGCGAAAATGGACAGGGCCCCCAAGGTTCAAAAAGTCAACTGCTCGGGCACCAAATTGCGATGTGGCTTAGCAGCGGTCCACGTGAAGGAGCCAGGCTGGGCACGAGCTTGGGTACCTTGAGCGCAGCCTGGCGCGCACAGTGGGGCACACCCCCGACCCGGTGTCCTGCGCCTGTCGGGACATCAGGAGGGTCGCGTCCACTGCCATCCGCCACCTCGTCAAAGTTACCCGACTCGAGCATTGAGCTTGAGTGTGAGGAATCGCTGAGTTTTGATCTGAGTCAAGGCGAGGCAGCTGGCTTCAAATGTCTAAATGGTCGCCGTGTAGAAGGGAAAGCAGAAGTGCTTCCAGGTGGGGCTGGGGCATTGGGAGCCCCCGAAGGCAAAATTAGATCAGGTGGGTTGAAGTTATAAGGAGGTAGGTTTGGGCTTAACATTTAAAAAAAATTAATAAAGGGAACTTCCCAAGGGTAAAAAAACCCCGTGGCATTGAAGAAGCCGGCTTGCGAGGTCACGTGCACCCAATTGCTGGCAGCATTCAAACAGCGTTTGGGTTTTCAGACCTTCAGTGATCCTTGAAATGCATCATATTCCCTAGCCCCACCCTCAGAAATACAGATTCAGCAGACTTGCACGTTAGGG